TCTCTCTCTCTCTCTCTCTCTCTCTCTCTCTCCCTCTCTCTCTTTCTTTCAGGAATTGAACTCAGGACTTCGTGCTTGCCAGGCAGGTGAGGTGCCACTGAGCTACATCCCTGGCCTGTGAAACCCTTCTTTTATGACAAATGCCTTCTTTTTGCTTAAGCCACAGGCTGATTTCTGTTGCTTACAGCCTAAGGGCTCTAACTAATACAGGGGGAGTACTGACACCTCCAACCACAGCCTCGAAGTTAAGAATGCCCTCTGAGCTCTCTTTGTCACCCACCTCTCCTCCACCCAGACCCCATCACAGCTGGGTGGTTTCCCAGCCACTCCCCAACATGCCAGTGCCTGAGGGCTGTGCCTTCCCAAGCCAGACGGACAGGGCTTGGGGAGAGCTCATCACTCAGGGCTCGAGAGGCCACAGTGGCACTTCTGGGGATGTCCAGTGCTTTAGGGAAAGCTGAGTGTTTCCAGATTGAACTGGATTTTCTTTTTCTGAGAACTGCTGGGGTTGGGAACCCTGGGGTGGGAGCGGGAGCTGTTGGTGGCCTGGGGCAGGGAAGAACCCGCGTCCACCACCCAGATCTGCCCCAGACCTGAGCCCTCAAAGGAAAGGGCCTGGGGGCATTTTGGATGCTTCCAGTTCACACATTTGCTGTGAACTTGAACACTGTCTCTCATGCTTTATTTTATTATTCATGTTATTATATGTGGTGTTTTCTTTTGAGACAGGGTTCTGCTGTGTAGCCCAGGCTGGCCCTGAACTCGTGGCAATCCTCCTGCCTCAGTATCCTGAGTGCTGGAATCACAGATGTGCACCACCATGCCTGGTTTGAGACTGAGTGATTTCGAAAGAAAAGAAGTTAATTTGGTGTGTGGTCCTGGAAGCCTAAGAGCCCGGTGCCAGCATCTGCTTGTCTTCCGGTGCTGCCCCACCCTTGGTGGGCCCCGCAGGGTGAGCGAGGTGCCGGAGGAGGGAGAGAGCTTCAGCCCCTCGTTGGCCCGTGCTCCTCCCTCCCGTCCCCCACCTCCCGTCCCGCTGCGTTCGGTGTGGACAGAGCAGCAGGGCTCTGAGAGTGAAGCTCTGCTCCTGCCCGCAGCTCCGCCTCTTCCTGGGTGATCTCGCCACCGGGGCCCCCCCGCCTCTGGCCCACCCGTGCCCTGGGGCCTGGCGTCCTGCTTCCCAGCCCGATTTCCTCCCAGCACCTGCTCAGCCCTCGGCTCTGCCGGCCCCCTAGTGACAGAGGCCGAAGCTGCAGCTTCCACCTGGGTTGGCCACATGGCTCCAGAGACACCACACGTCCTTGATCAGCGTCCACAGGGTCCACAGAGGGCTGAGGGCCCCAGAGCCACGGACGCAGGGGTTTCTCAGTGAGGCATTTGGGGTTGTAAGACTCGAGGGAGTAAGAGATGAGAGAAGGCTGAGATCGCAAAGCCTGTCCCAGGTATGGAACCTCCTTCCGGTGATGTCCTTCAAGCAAAGGGCCCCAGAACCTGGAATTTCCCCAACAAAGCCCATATTGGAGGTTGCCCTTAAAAACCTTGGAGAAAGTTTCTTTTGATGATTTGGAAACCGTTGGTTTATATTCTTTTCAAATGAAAATTGCTTAGAAGTTGTTTGACAGGTAAATTCATAACGAAAAATATAAAGAAGAAAATGAGAAAGCTACAAAACTGCATTTGGGAAAGCCCAGTATGGTGGCATATGCCTGTAATCCCAGTACTTGGGAGGCTGAGGCAGGAGGATTGCCTTGAGTTCAAGGCCAGCCTGGGCTACTTAGTTTAAGTTTAAGGCCAACCTGAATTACGAAATGATACTTTGTCTCGAAAAAAAAAAAAAAAAGAAAGAAAGAAAGAAAGAAAAAGAAAAGAAAAGACTGGCTACTTAGATTTGGCCAATTTATTTATTTAGGAATTTATTCTGTACAGGCCTTAGTACCAGTTGCTTCAAAGATTAATTCAGGTCATGGTTGAGTCTGAAAGAAGAAGGTAGATTATTTAATAAATGTTGTGGGGATTACTAAGTAACCATTTGGAAGAAAATAAGTTTAATGATTACCTCACACTAGATCAGAATAAATTCAGAGATTAAATATTTAGATGTTTGGAAAAAAACCCAAACAAGCCATAAAAGTAGTAGACACAAACATAGGTGATTGTTTATGTAACCTTGGTGGCCAGAAAGGTTTTTTCTAAACATAACTGGGGAGAGAAAAGAAAAAAGATTGGACAGGGTTCATGTCAAATACCAATAGTCAGAAGTTCCTGAAAGCATAGTTAAGTGGCAAGCGACAGAGCTCAGGTATTTGAAACATAGCAGGTCCATGAAGACCTCTGCAGATGGTAAGAAAAGCATGTGGCCTGATGTGGGTGTGGGACACATAAGGAAAGAGAAGTGGGTGCGAGCTGGGCATGCTGAGCACACCTGTAATCCTAGCACTCAGGAGGCCGAGGCCAGCCTGGGCTACGTAGTGAGACCCTGTCTTGAAAAAAGAAAAAAGGAAGTGGGTTAAAAAACATCAAAAATAGTAAATTATTTTGTTTAAAAATATGTATAGGTCTATTTGATTTTTCTTTCATGGCTATAAATTAGGATATTGCCAACTTTTTTACTTTAGATAATGCTTCAAGTACTGTGTGAATTTTTGAGCGATGGATCCCAGCCCTGGGGTGGATGGTTGAACCAGCAAACTCCTTTCTCTTCTCTTCCCGTCCCTTCATCTTTCTGGTGCTGGGGATTGAACCCAGGGCCTTGTTGATGCTCGGCTCGCGTGTTACCACTGAGGCCTACTCCAGTCCCTAGCATTTTATTCTTGGTAAATATTTCCAGAGCACCCACCCAAAAGTCTGAATCAGTTTTCGCCCCATCAGCCACATGTGGAGGCCTGCCTTTCTCTCTCTCTCTTCCTCCTCCCTTCCTGGCTGCTGAGGCAGAGCCCCGGCCTCAGACCCGAGCCTCCCAGCGGTCGCTCTGGTCCCCATACAGAGCCTTGAGGGGTGGAGGGCGCTGCCGCGTGGCCTCTCGTCCAGCGGCCGTGGGACAGGACGACCCCGCTCCGTCCCCGCAGTTCCTGCTCATCTTCCACAAGGCGGCGGCCGGGCAGCTGCGGGACGACAGCGGGTTGACGGCGCTGGCGCAGCTCTCGGAGATCAGCGTGGCCTCGGAGGGCGTCCGAGGTGCCAAGGACTTCTTCGAAGCCAAGGTAGGCACCTCCTCCTCCCCGCACCGCGGTGGGGCGCCCTGGGTCCAGGCTCAGGCAGGTTTGCTGGACAGAGCTCCAGGTCGCTCCCCAGGATCTCTTTCTAACCTAGGCGAGATGGCACAGGAGGCTGAGGCAGGAGGGCCACAAATTTGAGCCCAGCGTGGGCAATTTAGCGACTTAATGAAGGCCTGCCTCAAAATAAAAAAAAATTTTTTTTTGGTACTGGGGATCGAACTCGGGTCCTTGCACTTGCACAGCAGGTGGCAAAACCACTGAGCTAGATCCCCGGCCCTTCAAAATAAAAAATATTAAAAGGGCTGGGGATGCATCTCAGTACAAAAGCCCTGGGTTCAATCTTCAGTACCCCCCCCTTTTTTAACCCTCCATCTGGTTGAGTGGCTTCAATAGCTACCCCTTCCCTTTGCTTTTTTTATTTTTTTACCTTTTCGTTTTTTTTTTTGGTGCCGGGGATCGAACTCGGGTCCTTGCTCTTGCACAGCAGGCAGCAAAACCACTGAGCTAAATCCCCGGCCTACCTTTTCGGTTTTTTGAGACAGAGTCTCACTGTGTAGCCCAGGGTGGCCTCAACTAATGGCGATCCTCCTCCCTCAGCCTCCAGAGTGTTGGGATTATAGGTGTGCATCATCACACCTGGATCTCCCTGCATTATAAACACCTGTGTTGTAAACCAGTGGATCTTGGGACCCCAGAAGAGGACAGGGCGGCTGGCCCGGAGTGGGTATCTGCACCATGGACAGTAGTTGGAGCCGGGAAGGGGTCTGCAGCGTGATCCCAAAGCCCTTCCGGGGACGTCCATTCATCCCCAGGTTTACACTGTGCCTTAAGCCAGGTGTGGTGCCCATCTGTAACCCAGCATCAGAAAGCTGAGGCAGGAGGATCTCCATGAGTTCTAGGCCATCCTGAGTTTTATAGTAAGACCCTGTCTCAAAAAGCAAACAACACCCCCCCCAAAAAGCCAAAATACAGTTGGAGTGCCTCGAGCATTAGGTGAGCACACGTGTGTAGGGTTGAACAACTGTGGCCTCGAGCTGCTGTGATGCCCTGGTACCCCAGCAGGAGCAGCCCGGGGCAGTGGCATCTTCTTCCAAGGCTGCCCAGAGACAATGTTGTCCTCAGTGGCAGGTCCAGCCCCTCACAGCCTCTGCTGTGCTGTTGGAGACAGAGTCCGGCCTCTCTGTGCCGCTCTGGAGTCCCAAAGCTCCCGTGGGGTAGTGTTGGGGACAGGTGGCCACTCTGCACCCTGAGCACTCATGTCCGGTGTCCAGCCCTGCCCATGGCCTGGCCCATCCTTCCTGCCACACCGATCCCTGACACCTCCGCAGCAGAGCCAGGTGCTGTCCCAGGGCACACACTGAACAGTGAGATGACAGACTCCACAGGGGAGGGTCTCGTGCTGTGGGCTGGGTTCTCCTCCACCAGTGGAGTCCTGTGTGCAGGTCCCGTGGGCTGCCCCTGTGAAAGTCCCTGTGAGGGACACCATGCTTCAGCTGGGGATGTGACGCATGCCAGAGGCCCTGGATGTCTTATCCAGGCACTGGGTCGGCTCCCTGCTCCAGCCCCATCTGCCCCTCCGAATGCCACAGGGCCTTTGCATGGCAGGGCTCAGCACCTGCTGTCCCCTCTGCCTGGAGCCCCAGCCAGGGCCTCTGCCCAGGAGACTGCTCCTTTCAAACCCAGCTCCAGGGCGGCTCCTCCAGCTGCTCCTCCTGACTGTGGGAGGGGGGCAGGCTTCGGCTCCTGTGCTTCTGACCTTGTCCAGGCAGTGCAGGGCTTGGCTGTTCAGGGTGCCCTTGGACACATGGGTGGGAGTGGAAGTGATTTCTGTAGAGCAGCTTGGGTTTCAGCCTCCGGAGCTGCTCAGGCAAATACACATCGATCCTGGACAGGGTTCTCTTAGGGTGTTGTTGGTAAGAGAGGAAAATTAAACATCTGAAGCTTCCATGGTCAGAGAATCAAGCAGGTGGTGCTTCCTCCGCACATTTGCACATTCTGCAGCCACCAAAGAGTGAGATGTCGCTCTGGGAGGCTGAGGCAGGAGGCTCACAATTTCAAGCCCAGCTTGGGCAACTTAGTGACTTAGTGAGTCTCTATCTCAAAACAAAAAATAAAAAGGATGGGGCTAGAGCTTAGTGTGAAGGCCCTTGGTTCACTCCCTACTACAAAAAAAGCAAAAACCAAGGTATGGCTGTGTGTGTGTGTGTGTACAGATGTCCAAAATAAATCAAGCAACAACAACAACAAATCAACAAAAAGCCAAGCCTGGTGATGTGCACCTATAATCCTGGCACTCAGGAGGCTGAAGCAGGAAGATCACAAATTCAAGGACAGGGGTTGAGGATATAGCTCAGCAGCACCATGCCTGCCTGGCAAGCAAAAGGTCCTGAGTTTGATCCCCCATACCAGGAAAAAAACCCAACTCAACCATAAGAAAACAAATTCAAGGCCAACCCGGATAGGCCCTATCTCAAAAAACAAAAACAGGGGCCGGACATTTAGCTCTGTGGCACCGCACCTGCCTCACAAACGAAAGGTCCTGAGTTCCATCCCTGGTACTAAACAAAACAAAACAAACAAACCCCAAAACAAAATTAAGAAAAACAAAACATGTGATGTCCAACTTTGTTAAGCATTAAATACGGGCTGGGGATTTAGCTCAGTGGTTGCTCCACCTGCTGCACAAGTGCAAGGACCTGAGTTTGATCCCTGGTACCAAAAAAACCCCCCAAAACCAAAAAACAAAAAGCATTAAATACAACCTAGATAATCACGTGAAAAAGTATTAGTAATAGTTACATGAGGGGACTTATTTTATATGTCTGTAATGTTTTATGAGTGTGCATTATTTTTACAAGCAGAAGAAAAGATGAAAAGCATGACAATACATTTTCCCGACCTGCTCACCCAGACTCGAAGGCCAGGCAGACATACTCTGTAATTATGGCACCTCGGCTAATGGCCCTCACAGACGTCCGCACGAGTGACGATCCAGGGCCTCCCGCCATGGGTCTGGGAGAGGCCCCAGCGTCAGGAGCTGGGTGACGGATGCTCCAAGATGAATGGGCCTCAGCTTGTAATCATGCAGGGGAAGGTGTCCGGGCGTGGGAACCAAGAGTCAGGCCCCGAGGCGGGGCGGTGTCTCCCAGCAGTGAGCAGCTGCACACGGGAGCCGAGGTGAAAGGGGTGTGGGGCCAGCAGCCCCTCCTTGGCACGCAGCAGTTGACTGTGAGGCCGAGTGGGCCCTGGGCGTGCTGGACACACACGGGGCTGATTTCCCACCTCAGTGAGGGACGGTCCCGGGACAGCCTGCTGGTCTCTAGAGCCACTTGTTCCCCAGGATTCCGCAGGACGCGCAGCTGAGCGGTGGTCCCAGGAGCCCTCGGCATGGGCACAGGTGGCGCTGCGAGGGCAGTCTGGCCCAGGAGAGGAGTGGCAGTCCAGCGAGGGCAGGGACGGTGTGGACAGGATGAGGTGAGGAGGAAGCAGTGCCCGGGGACAGAAGGCAGGAGGCTGGCAAAGCTTCGACAGAGGAGCTGAGATTTGAAACAGGAGCCTGGAGTGGGAGGGGTTTGAGAGGAAAAGTGGGAAACTGGTTCTGGTGTTGTCCCAGGTGACTTCAGGTGTGGCAAAGGCGTGACTCCACTTGACCGACATCGAGCTGCTTGCACATTGCTTCTGATCTCGGCCTGGTGGACAGAACTCAGCCACACCTGGCATCTCGGGAGGATTCAGAACTGTCCTTTTCCTGGGAATCCCTGGGCCAGGCTGGAATGATGCTGCCTGGGGAGGGTGCTAGACGTCGAGGGGTGTGGAAGGATTCTTCCGCACACACCTGTTCCTGACGCAGCCATGGCAAGCCCTGGGATGTTGGTGCCCGAATTGGGCCCTCCTGAGGCGGGGGTGGGCTCAGACATCCAATGACAGATCAAAGAAGCCATCTTCACAGTGTACAGCTTGAAACCCAAGAATTCAAGGAGATTGACCAGTGGTCAGGTTTTCGTTGTTGTTGTTTTGGTTTTGTTTTGAGACAGGGTCTCACTGTGTAACCCAGGCTGCCCTTGAACTTGTGATCTTCCTGCCTCGGCCTCCTGAGTGCTGGAATCACAGGGGTGCGCCACCACGCCTGGCTACCAGTAGTGGAGAGTACTGAGTACTGGTGATTGGCTGTGGGAAAGGCTGGCACTGAGGCCTTCTGAGAAGAAGGAGTAATCAGAGGCCCAAAGAAACCCTAGAGAAGACGCTGTTTTGAGGTACAAGAACAAAAATGAAAAAAAATTTTTTGAGACAGGGTCTTGCTATGTAGTTCCTGCTGGACTTGAACTCATTATGTGTAGCACAGTTTGGCTTCAAACTCATGGTGATCCTCCTGCCTCAGCCTCCCATGTGCTGAGATGACAGGCATGTACTATTATGCCCGGCCAAGCACAAGAACAATTTTTTTGGTTTTGTTTATTTTTTCGTTTTGATACTGGGGACCAAAGGCAGGGTCTTTGCACTGAGTTACATCTCCAGTGCCACCTTTCACCTTGTTCTTATTTTCTATTTTGAGATAGGGTCTCACTAAAGCTGACTTGAACTTACAGTCCTCCTCCTTCAGCCTCCTAGAGTGAAAAGATAAAACCAAATGTGGAGGCACATGCCTGCAATTCCAGCACTCAGGAGGCTGAGGCAGGAGTTTCACCTTGAGTTCGAAGTTCGCCTGGGCTACATAGTGAGTTCAAGGCCAGCCTGGATTACAAAGTATGACCCTGTACCAAAAACAAAACAAAACCCAAAAAACAAGCAGAGTCCTGTGATTGTAGGCATCCTCACCATGCCTGGCAAGAACAATTTTCCCTCCATTTTTTTGGTGGTGGTAGCTAAATTTCCCAAGTTGGGCTCAAATTTAACATCTTCCTGCCTCAGACTCCTCAAGTGCTGGGATTACAGGAGTGTACCAACAGGCCTCTCCCCAGCAAATGGAGTTTTAAGGAGAGATTAGTACTGGGGATGGAGCTCAGTAGTAGGAGCTCTAACCTAGCAGGCTGAAGGCCCAAGGTTCAATGCCCAGCTGAGGGGGGGGGCAGGGGCTCAGGGAAGGGTCTGGTTCACCTTGGTGAAGCTGTCAGCCTGTTTTTGGGTCACAGAGAAATGGTCAGGGAGAAGAAAACGTGAAGATAAAGCAAGAGGAGGGGCTGCTTGATAAAACAAGGACCTGAGGGTTGTGGAATCACAGAGGAAATAGCTTTGCCAGTGGGGAGGAAGAAGATCCCAAGGGCAGGCCTCGAACTCACTTCGATCCTCCTGCTTCAGCCTCCTGAGTGCTGGGATCACAGGTGTGCACCTCTAGGCCCAGTGAAAATCGTAGTTCTATTTTTCATGTTGACTCTATTTGATTACCAGCTCACCATCGCTGAGAACTGAGCAACTGGCTTTTGAGCAGGTTCACGCCAGGCCAGTGCAGCCCAACTCTGGGCTGTGAGGTGTTTGGGGAAGGTCCGGGGTCTCCCTGCACAGGGAGAGGGTCCTGAGAGGAAGGATTGTACTGCTCTGTTTGTTTCCAAGTAAGGGGGGAAGAGGTGGGCCGGGTCTAGGGAGCACTGTGGGAAAAGTGAGCAGGGGAGAGAGTTGGGCCCCACCAAAGACGCAGCCCAAACGGGAAAAGTCCTGATGTCCCAGTGGATCCAGTTGCTAACACTGTGAGACTTCCTGCAAAGAAAGGAAAGTGTTCCCAGCCTGGAAGTTTGCATACAGAATCTTCAATTGAGCCAGGCATGGTGATGCACGCCTGTGATCCCAGCATGCTGGGAGGCCAAGGCAGGGGGACAGCAAGCCCAGCCTGAGCAACTCAGCAGACCCTGTCTCCAAATAACAAATAAAAAAAGGGCTGGGGACATAGCTCAGTGTGAAGGCCCTGGGTTCAAGCCCTAGCACTGAGGGAAAAAAATCATCTGCATGAGGGTGGGCCTTAGTGGGCAGGGAATGGGGACAGCACATCATGCAGAACACAGGTCCTGGGGAGCAGAAAGTGTTGTTGTCCCTTGTATCCAGGAAGATTTGATCCCAGGACCAAAGTCCTCAAATACTCGTGTCCCTTAGAGAAAGGGTGTGTATCTGCATATAACCTGTGATATTAAAATCATCTCTAGGTTACTTAAAATACAGCTAAGGCCTGGGGAAACTTACAGATTTATTCTTCCCTATTCAAACCCAGCACCTCATGCATGCTAAGCATGCACTTTACCACCAACTACAGCCCCAGCCTGATTTTCAGTGTTAACAAAAATAATGCCAGCATATTAAAACAGATCATGTCCTGTTTATTCTCTGGAGCCATTGCTTCTGAAAACAAAACCAGATAAAAATGCCATACCAGAAATACCTTTTATATTAAGGAATATAGCTGTAAGGAACATAAAACATCAAGAAATGGAGTGCAGTTATAACATTTAAGGAGATTTGTGCTAAGACTGCAAGAATTATTTAAAATATATTCTTATCGCCGGGGATTTAGCTCAGTGGTTTCACCACCTGCTGAGAAAGTGCAAAGACTCGAGATTGAACCTGGGTACAAAAAAAAAAAATATATATATATATATATATATATTCTTATTGGGCTGGGGATTTAGTTCAGTAGTGCCGCCACTTGCCTCAAAAGCCCAAGATCCTGAGTTTGATCCCCTGTACAAAAAAAAAAAAATATATATATATATATATTCTTATTATAGGGATTGTCAAAAAGAAACAAGTGGCTAGGTGTGGTGGACACCTATAATCACACCACCCTGGAAGGCTGAGACAGGAGGATCCCAAGTTTGAACCCAGCCTGGGCAATTTAGCAACTTAGGGAGACCCTGTCTCAAAATTTAAAAATTTAAAAATGGCTGGGGTTGTAGCTCAGTGGTAGAGTGCTTACCTAAGATGAGCTGAGGCTCTGAGTTCAATCCCTAGACTGAAAAAAAAGAAGGAGAAGAAGAGGAAGAAGAAGGAAAAGAACAATATTTTTCTTTGGGGAGGTGCTGGGGTTTGAACTCAGGGCCTCACAGATGCTAAGCACATGCTCTGCCACTCAACTGTACCCTATACAATGTTTCTTCCTTTTTTTTTTATACAATGTTTCTTAAAAGAACATTTACTTTCCTCATAAATATCAAGGCATTCTATCAGGTAGTAGTAATATGAATCGATGTAGTATGGATGCAGGAATAAATCAGTCACTGAAATAGAGTAGAAAATATAAGAACAGATTTTTTCCGTATGGGGATTTAGAATATGAAAAAACTTAGGTCAATAATGGAGTATGAATAAGAGATATTGAGACAATCCACTATCCACTTAGGAAGAGGAAATTAAAATTCCTACTTTATTGAGGTGTGGTGGTGCACACGTGTAAACTCAGCACTTGGAAGGCTGAGGCAGGAAGAGTGCCATGAGTTCAAGGCCAGCTTGGACTACGTAATGAGTTTAAGACTAGCCTGGACTACACAGCAAGACCCTGTCTCAAATAAATAAATAAATAAATAAATAAATATCCCTACTTTGTACCCCTCACTAAAATAAGTGAGCTTATTGGGGGGAGCTTTTGAAGGGGCTCTTAATGAGCTAAATGAGAAAATAAAACCATAAAAGTATTAGAAGAAAATACAGGAAAATGGATGTAGAGCCTTGAGGGCATAGAAAATCTTAAATGTGACATAAAATGCAAAACTCAGAAATGAAATGGTTGATAAATTTGATTACATCAAAACTGCAAATATTTCTGAGGCCCAAGATGCCTTAAGTTAGAAAACAAGCAAAAGACAGCAGTGAGTAAAAAATATGTAGCAAGAGACTAAATTTTATAAAGGACTGGAGAGAGAGAGAGAGAAAAAGAGAGAGGCAGTGAAGTTGAATAGAAAAATAAGGAAAGGACACAAAGAGCAGTTCACCAAAGAGGAAGTAAAAGAAGGTGCCAATGTTTTTTTCCTTCTCAGATTGGCAGAAAGGAAGAACGTTAAGGATGAGTTTTAGCGAAGCTGTGGGGAAATGAGGACTTGATCCTGGGAGCGTAAATTGGAACAGCTACTTTGGGGAGTAATTTAGTAGCCTGTATTAAAATAATGTATCCACCTGGTGCATCATTCACCACTGTTACCAAATGACTATGGGGGAAAAAATCAGCTGTAGAATAGAGAAGTTTTACATGGATTTGTCTGATATGTATCATTGAAGACAAAATAATTTTTTTGGTACCGGGGATTGAACTCAGAACCTTGTGCTTGCAAGGCAAACGGTAGAACCACTGAGCTAAATCCCTGGCTAACCTGAAGACAAATTCTTAATTAAAAAAAAAAAAGCCAACTGGGCATGGTGGCTATAATCCCAGCACCCTAGGAGGCTGAGGCAGGAGGATCACAAGGTTAACCTAGTCAACTTAGCCACTTACTGAGAACTTGTCTTAACAAAAAAATGTTTTAAAATATTTATTTATTTTTATTTTTTAGTACTAGGGATCAAACTCGGGTCCTTGCGCTTGCGGGGCAGGGGATGGAACCACTGAGCTAAATCCTCGGCCCTGCTTATTTATTTTTGAGCCAGAGTTTCACTAATTGGCTAAGTTGCCCATGCTACACTCCAGGGTGATTTTCCTGCCTCAGCTGCCCGAGTGCTGGGATTTCAGGCATGCACCACTATGCCTGGCCTCAAAAAATTTTTTAAAGGGCTGGGGGGAAAAAGGGGGGGCGCTGAGGATGTGGCTCAGTACAAAGGCCCTGGGTTCAATCGACCATTGCTAAAAAAATAAAGAAAAAGAATTTAGAGCACCCCCTACAGATGGAAGTGCGTCTAAGCAGCAACAAAGAAAGCGCTGGTGTCTGCACTAACAGGAGACCGAGCCAGGCGCGTCTTCCCGGCCTCCCAGCCCCGCCAGGGCCGCGAGTGGCCTGCTCGCCGCTGGGTGTCACCCCCTCCTCTCCCCCTTGCCGTCTCTCTCCGCAGGCCCAGGCCCTGTCATCCGCCAGCAAGTTCGAGGCCGAGCTAAAGGCCGAGCAGGAGGCGCGGAGGCGGGAGGAGGAGGAGAGGAGCCTGCGCCGGGCGGCCTTCGGGGAGCTCAAGGCCGCCTTCAGCGCCTAGCGCCCTGCCTCAGCCCCAGCTGCGCCTCAGCCTCCGGCCCATCCCAGTCCCCGCACCCCACCTTCCCTCACGGTGGCCAGGGCTGTTGTACCCTCACTCCCCTCTCACTGGCCCACGTCAGCGACTCGTCTTTTTGTCCCGACGTTCTCTCCTGTGGCCCCCAGGGGACACACTGCCCTGCCCGCTTTCTCCTCTGTCCTTTCCCATTCACTCTTAGATTCTCTTGGCTGCTTTTGCAGTGGGGTGCTGGGATTCCAGGGGGAGGACAACGACCCTCCCTTCTCCCGCGGGGAGCGCACCCAAGTCCCCTGTCTTGCTCCTGGACCTTAGCGCCCACAAGCCCATCCTGTCCACTCCTCACCATCCGGGTCTTTTTCCTCTCCTGACTTCGTGCTACTCAACTACAAGAATGAAAGGCAGGGGCCGGGGATTTAGCTCAGTGGTTTTGCCGCCTGCTGCGCAAGCGCAAGGACCTGAGTTCGATCCCCGGTACCAAAACAACAACAACAACAACAAAAAACAATGAAAGTCATCAGCCATAACACCGAGGAGAAGGTCCCGAGAAGGTCCCGCTACCTCTGACTGTGGAGGTCAGGATTCTCCCACTGCACACATCAGGGCCTGTCAGAGTCCTGAAGTCACAACCTCCAAATCCTCCAGTCAGTGTCAGCTCCTAGGTGTTGAGGTAGGGATGTTCCCAGCACAGGAGACACTTTTATATCCTATGAATTTGGGGGATTGCTCAGAGATACCACCGGTTTATTGTATTTTTAAATTTCCCAATGTCATATTTATTGCTTCTCTTTGGTAACTACTGACTTTGCAATAAAGAAGCCATCTGCCTTTTTGCCTTACAGCTGTCTCTTTTTATTTATTTTTCTTTTTCCCCTGGTACCAGGAATCAAACTCAGGACCTTGTGCTTGTCAGGCAGGCGTTGTGCCACTGAGCTACATCCCCAACCCCAGCTGTCTTTTTTCAAATAAACCGTGCAAGTGGATGTGGCATCAGGCCAGTGTGCCCAGAGTCTTCTTCGAGTTAGGGGCGAGGCGAACACGATTTGTAGGGGGCCGAGGCTTGTGTGGACCCTGAGTTTCTCAGGCACAGTGTAGAGGCTTTGCTCTATGACGCCCGGAGGCCTGAGGTGGTCAGCCGCTGTCCTCTTGGCCCAGGCAGGACGCTTTCTGCTCCCAGGCAAATCTGTAGTTGAATTTCCTTTCTTCCACACAGCTTGAAACTGAGGCGAGGCAGCGCCTCCTCTGGGTGTGGCTCGGCAGGACGAGGACCAGTGCTCCCGGTGAAGGCCACCAGGCTCTGCACCAAGGAGACTCGGGGCTCCCAGGCGCTGTCTTTGGCATCTTTAGGGCAGACAGCTAAGGTAGGCAAGGAGTCAGTGCGGAAGATGAGAACACATTACCACTGTGGCTGGAGGCGCATCCAATGAAGATTCAAGTCACAATGGCCAGACTGACAAACTTTCCTAAAAGGGATAAGTGGAAATTTGAGATCATTGGTACTGTCTTCTGAGATCTCCCATATAAACAGACCATTATCTCATTAGAGGTGGGGCCTCCTCTCCTACCCACGAAGACTAAAGACAAGACTAAACTATAGTTTATGGACCAAGCTAATGCTGTCATCCACATGCCCTTGCTACTATTGGATCACTGTTAGCCAAGCGGCTATACTAGTGATCTTATTGGTTGATTATAGTTTTGACTCATGTTGTACCCACCTTGTGATTTTGCTCTATAAAACTTTGTCAGAGAAGTGGGCTCCTTGGCAACCCAGTCAGGACTCCTCCTGTCTCTCAAGAGCTATTCTTTTCCCTCATCCCTATTCCCCATAAATTTTCCTACTCTTTTTTTTTTTTTTTTGAGTCAGGGTCTCACTATGTAGGCCAGGCTGTCCTCAAACTCACTGCAATCTTCCTGCCTCAGCCTCCTGAGTGCTGATTATAGGCGTGTGCCACCACACCAGGGCAATTTTCCTACTTTTAACCTCCACTGTTCATTAGAATTCTTTTGGGGGGGAGCGGGGGGCATGAACTCAGTGTGTCTGACATCTAGCAGGTTGGGAGTTACATTTTTTCTGTTCCATATCGTCCTCACCAGAGGAGAGAAAAGGACTAGAGGTTCATGAAGTACTATGCAGCAATTCTGGCTCTTCAGATTTACACACAGGGCATGGAGCCAGATGGCGAACACCTGTGATCCCAGTACTCAGGAGGCAGAGGCAAGACATCACCTTGAGTTCAAAGCCAGCTTGGGCTACACAGTGAATTCAAGGCCAGGGTGGACTACACAGGAGGACCCTGCCTCAAAAAACTGAAACTAAATAAATAAAATAGAGGCCGGGTGTGGTGGTGCATGCGTGCAATCCCAACACTCAGGAAGCTGAGGCAGGAGGATCGCCATGAGTTTGAGGCCAGCCTGGGCTCCATAGTGAGTTCAAAGACAGCCTGAACTACAAAGCGAGACCCTGTCTCAAATAAACAAACAAACAAACAAACAAACAAACCTGGAAGTTGAGGATGCAGCTCAGTGGCAGAGCATTCCCTCAAGTGCACAAGGCCTTGGCTCAACCTCCAGCGTGCAGCTACTTGAAACATTTCTCTCTGCACAAACAAGCCGGGCAAGAGCTAAAACTCTTGACTGCAAACGATAGCAAATCAGAAGGATTTAGGACACAAACAGGACCAGGTAACCAGCAAGACCTCAGGACGGAAGGTCTTTGGTGGCTCTTGGTCACATCTTGATCATGACGTCCTGCAGGAGTTGCTGCCTGCCTGATGCTCACCTCCTATCCCCAAGACCACACAGCTCAGCCCTTCATGGGTCCTTTCCTGCGTCTCTGCAGTGCTTCTCTACCCAGATTCACCCTGATTGTCCACCTTGAAGCTATAATAATCTTTTGTTCATTTTGTTTTGTTTTTGAGGCAGGGTCTCTATGGAGCCCACGCTGGCCTTGAACTCACAGCAGTCCTCCTGCCTCAGCCTCCTGAGTGCTGGGACTATCAGCTTGTGACACCACACCTGGTAAAGCTGGAACAATGTTTAGAAGATACAAATCTGTTTCTAATGCCTCCCCTTCCATTTCTGATTTCCATGGTTAGAATCTGGCCTGGTTCACCTTGTGTGTTTCTTGCCCTTCCTTCCTTCCTTCCTCTGTCCCTTGGAACTGTGCAGCCCAGGTCTATGCAAGCCAAAATGGTTCCTGGAAAGTGTCACACAGTCCTCAACTGTACAGGTGTCCCCTGCTCCCCTCCCTCTCCTTGGGGGTGGCTTGGTTCAGAGAGCACCTTCCTCAAGCCCTCACTGCTTCCGGGCTAGGAGGGTGCTCTCCTCACACATCACACAGGATCCTGCTCTGCTCTGCCTCCTGGTTTGGACTCCACCCTACCTGCCACTGTAGGCCTGGCATGCTGCCTGGCATGGAACAGGCAGCCCTGGCACATGGGGTTCACAAGGATGCGCCAGGCTTCTGGAGCACACAGGTAGCCAAGGCAGGATCCCATCCGGTGTCTCTGTGACAAAACCCCTGCAGCTGGTGACTCCGTAGAGCAGAGAGGTCCATGCAGCTCACAGTTCTAGAGGACTCAGCGCTGGTGTCACCTGCCCTGGTGAGGACCTCACAGCATCGGGCACCACAACGGCAGGACTGCCCCCAACGAGGGCCAGCCTTCCTCTCATCACAATGCTCCACGGAGAAACGAACACAGGGGTCCCATCAGGAAAACGTTTCTTCCTTCTCTATGCAGTGCCCTTAAACTCCACCTTTTTGTTTGTTTGAGACAGGATCTCACTGTGTAGTTCAGGCTGGCCTTGAACTCACTAGCTGAGGATGGCCTTGAACTTGTGATCCTCCTGGCTCAGCCTCCTGAGTGCTGAGATTACAGATATGCGCATACGCTACCATTCCCAGCTTGTTTTTGTTATTTTAAAACAGGGTTTCACTATGTAGTCCAGGCTGAATTTGAACTGGCTATGTGGACTAGCCTGGCCTAGAACTTTCCATTCTCCTGCCTCAGCCTCCCAAGTGCTGGGATTACAGGCATGTGACACCATGCCCAGCTATCTCGCACAATTTCTGACAGTGTGGAGTTCAGAAGCCACTTCCTGTGTGGGTCTGGCTCTGGGCCTCTCTCAGTTAAAATGCCAGTGGGGGCAGCAGCGGTCTGAGTGCTTGGCCTGGCCTGGCGAACCTACTTCCCAGTTGACGAACTCATGTAATTTGCAAGTTGAGGCTGCTTCGGTGTCCCCTCAACACAGCTGCTGCTTTCGCCCAGTGCATGAGTGGCACAAGAGAGAGAAGGACGTGCAAGCCATGATGGCCTTCCAGATGGAGTTCTGATCACACGCAGGCACACCTCTAGAGGTGAGAGTCGCCGGGCACCATGTTGGATGTGACCGCCGGGGAGTCCGTCATGGTTTGTCACTGCAAGCCACAGAAACCCACGCCAGGTTGGTTTAGGTGGGAAAGGAATTGACTGAGTAGGACATGGAAGAGTAGGGGGCTGGGGCCAAGCTAAGGAAACAGGCAGGAGCCAGGCGGCTGGGACAGCAGTCAAGAACATGTGCTGGGCACCAGCCAGGGACGGTGCCACTGCCCTGACGGCCCAGAGCTCTGTTGTCCAATTTGCCGTCATTCACTCCAGATGCTGTGTCCCAGCTGGACCCCATCACATGCCGTGGGTAGGGGGCAGCATCTGGATTTTTGTCTTCTATAAAGGGAGGCAGGCTCTGGTCTTGATCTCGATTCTCTTTTGCTTTTTTTTTTTTTTGGTACCGGGGATCAAACTCAGATCCTTGTGCTTGCACAGCAGGTGGCAAAACTATTGAGCTAAATCCCCGGGGCCTATCTTTTGTTTGTTTTTTGAGACAGGGTCTTGCTATGTAGCCCAGGCTGGCCTTGAATTTGCGGCAATCTTCCTGCCTCAGCCTCCTGAGTGTTAGGATTACAGGCATGTGCCACCAGCTGCTGGGGAGAATTTAAATATTTTCCTTTACAGTATATGTTTTTTAAATTGTATTTATGTTTTTTGGGTACTGGAGATTGAACTCTGGTCCTTGCGCTTTCGAAGCAGGCAGCGAAACCACTGAGCTAAACCCCCCGGTCCTACAGTATGTTTTTGAACTTTCAACTTTTTGTTTTGTTTGGTTTGGATTGGTTTTTTGAGACAGGGTCTTGCTTTGTAGGCCTTTCAGGCTGACTTTGAACTCACTATGTAGCCCTGGAATTCACAGCGATCCTCTTGCCTCAGCCTCCTGAATGCTGGGATTATAGACAACCACCACAACCAGCTTGAATGCTCAACATTTTAAAGCCATAAAGACATATTGTTATACTGCCATGACAACTACTACCAATTCTACCTTTTGTTGGTTTGTGTGTTCTTTGTTTTGTTTTTGTTTGTTTTGTTTTTTGGTATGGAGGTGTGGGGGGGATAGAACTACAGACCTTTCACTTGTGAGGCAGGGAGCGGAACCACTGAGCTAAATCCCTGGCCCTATTTTTTTTTTTTGGTACCGGGGATCGAACTCAGGTCCTTGCACTTGTGAGGCAGGCGCTGGAACCACTGAGCTAAATCCCCGGCCCCCTATTTTTTGTTTTTTGAGGTAGGGCCTCCCTTTGCAGTTCAGGCTGGCCTTGAACTCACTGTGAGGCTGGCCTTGATCCTGCGTTGATCCTCCAGAGGGCTGGGATTTACCTCCATGCCCAGATTTACCATCACTAATCTTCATAATAGTTAAAAAAAGAGAGAAAGGAATCTGCAACCACAAAGAAAGTGAGAACACTGAAGGATGGATGGGATCCTCTGGGAAGGCACAAACACAAAACCCTCAATACACAAAG